GTTTTTTTCCTTCTAATGGTGGTATTAGTACCTTGTTGTGCTCATTCCATTGCTTATGAAGAAAGATATGCCATTTTTGGTAATAAAATTTATTGCTTCTACCCTTGAATATCTTTTCGCAATATTTCTTTGTCTTTACTTAGAATTATTTATAAGCTACAATATATACATAAGATACAATATATATACTACAAGAAAATATATAAGAGAATATATATACATAAGATACAATATAATATACTACAAGAAAATATATTATGCTACAATATATACATAATATACAATATATATACTACAAGAAAATATATAAGAGAATATATATACATAAGATACAATATAATATACTACAAGAAAATATATTATGCTACAATATATACATAATATACAATATATATACTACAAGAAAATATATTTATAAGCTACAATATATACATAAGATACAATATATATACTACAAGAAAATATATAAGAGAATATATATACATAAGATACAATATATATACTACAAGACAATATATTAAGAGAATATATATACATAAGATACAATATATATACTACAAGACAATATATTATGCATGACAATTTAGTGTTTTACTATTGTTTTGTTATTTACTTTTTTGTCAAGCACTTTAATAATTAGATCTACATATATACTACATATATATTTTTAATATAGCCATGATACTACAATAAATTGCCTTACTAAAAAAAAACCCGCTAGGCCCGCGAAGCCCACGAGCCCGGCCCGTTAAGCACAGGACCATGTGGGCTTAGGCCCGTCATGGGCCGGTTCCACCCATTGAGCCCACGAAGCCCGGGACCGCCAGGCCCGGGACCGCCAGAGCCCAGGCCCACGAAGCCCAGGCCCACGAAGGCCCGGGCCCGGCCCAGAATACAACACTAGATTTGGACCGATTTGATATCAAAATTCGTAGTTAAAATCGAGTTTAAAAAATTCTTCTGCGACACATGTATCACGCATGTATGTCACACATAGGTATACATGTGATACAAATATGATACTAATATCCATCACCGGCAAGCGGTTGAGGAATGCGGATGGGCATAAATTATGGTACTCTGGAGGCTCGAAGGATAAGAACAAAGTAGGTATTTTGGTGGACAAGGAACTTAGAGAGACGGTGGTAGAGGTTAGACGGGTGAGTGATAGATTAATGGCTATTAAGTTAGTGGTTGGAGGGCTCACTCTGAATGTCATTAGCGCTTACGCTCCCCCAACGGGCTTGGATGAGGAGGTTAAGAGGCATTTCTGGGAAGGTTTGGATGAGGTGGTGTGTGGTATTCTGCCCATGGAGTGATTATTTATAGGAGGAGATTTCAACGGGCATATCGGGATGTCTGCTGGTGGCTATGGCGAGGTTCATGGCGGTTTTGGCTTTAGGGATAAGAACGGAGGTGTCACTTCTCTGTTGGATTTTGCTAAGGCTTTTGAGTTGGTGATTGCGAACTCTAGTATTTCAAAGAGGGAGGAGCATTTGGTTACTTTTTGAAGTATGGTAACTAAGACTCAAATTGATTATTCTCCTCCTTAGGAGGTGTGATAGAGGGTTGTGCAAAGATGGAGCCTTAGCACGTGAACCCATAGGAACAAGGCCCTTCTTCTTTGCAAAAAAGCTTCTGAATTATCATCACATCAGTAGGCGCAGAAAGCAAATCTTGGTATTGACTTATTGAAAATCTCTTTGAGATGAAAGAGGCGATCAGAATGGTACTCGAATCCATTTACGATCTCGAGTTTCCAAACACGCACTTCCGCTCGGGTCGAGGCTTCCATCCCGAGTGAGGCACTCGCGACTCAACATAGGCTCTTAGTGATGGATGTCGACATCATGATAAAGAGGACGAAGAACGTGGTTCGGGGTCGTACAAGGATTAGGTGGGGTGCCTTGATGAAGGATAAAGCTCAGGAGTTGGATGGAAGGTTATTGTATATTAGGGCCTGGAGGACTAGTGGGGACACAAGCGGTATGTGGACAATGACGTCGAACTGTATAAGGGAGGTTGTGAGAGAAGTGTTAGGGGTCTCGAAGAGTTACTTGGGCGGTCACATGGACAACTAGTGGTGGATGCCGAGGTCTAGGGAAATGTGGAAGAAAAGAAAGCGGCATACACGGAGGTTAGTGGAGAGTACAAACGAGGAGGAGAAGAGGATGAACAGAGAAAGATATAAGACACGGTCATGGAGGCTAAGACTGCAGCGTTTAGTCGCTTGTACGAAGAACTGGGGGACAAAGACGGGGACAAGAAGTTATTCCGGCTGGCCAAGGCGAGAGAGAGGACAGCTCGTGATCTAGACCAAGTGAGGTGCATCAAGGACGAGGAAGGAAGAGTGTTGATGGAAGACGCTCAGATTAAGTGGAGATGACAGACTTACTTTCATAAACTGCTGAATGATTAAGGGGATAGGGACGTTGTGCTAGGTGAATTGGAGCACTCCGAGAGTCCATGATATTTTAGCTACTGTAAGCGCACTAAGGTCGAGGAGGTCATGGGACGATGCTTAAGAAGGGGCAGAGCGATCGGGTCAGACGAAATTTTGGTAGAATTTTAGAGGTTTGTGGGTAGAGCAGGATTAGGTAGCTAACTGAGATGTTTAATATTATTTTCAAGACGAAAAAGATGCCAAAAGACTAGAAGTGGAGTACGATGATATCATAGTACAAAAATAAAGGTGATATCCAGAGTTGTAACAACTATATGGGTATCAAGTTACTAAGTCATACCATGAAAGTTGGGGAGAGGGTAGTGAATGTGAGGGTGAGGAGGTCGGTGTCGATATCCGATAACCATTTTAGGTTCATGCCTAGTCATTCTAATATAGAAGCTATCCATTCTATTAGGAGGTTGGTTGAACTGTATAAAGATAGGAAGAAGGATTTGCACATAGTGTTTATTGACCTAGAAAAAACATATGACAAAGTCCTTAGGGAAGTTCTTTGGAGATTCCTGGAGGTGAAAGGTGTTCCAGTAGCTTATATTGGGGTGATTAAAGACATGTATGATAGAGCTAATACTAGTGTTAGAACTGTGGGGGTGACTCAAAGCATTTTTCGATTTTTATGGGATTACACCAAGGATCTGTGCTTAACCCGTTCTTATTTGCTTTGCCAATGGACGCACTGGCGCATCATATTCAAGGGGAGGTGCCATGATGTATGTTATTTTCTAATGATATAATTTTGATCGATGAGATGTGAGGCGGTGTTAACGAGAGGTTGGAGGTTTGGAAATCCTCGAGTCTAAAGGTTTCAAGTTGAGCATGACTAAGGCAGAATACGTGGAGTGTAAGTTCAGTAGCGTCTTAGGAGAATCAGACATGGACGTGAGGCTTGCCTCTCAAGTCATCCCTAAGAAAAGGAGCTTCAAGTACCTTGGGTCGGTTATCCAGGGGATGAGGAGATTGATAAGGATATCACACACCGTATAGGGGTGGGATGGATGAAATGGAGGCTAGCGTCTGGCATTTTGTTTAACAGGAAGGTGCCTCGAAACTTAAAGGTAAGTTGTACAGAGCGATGGTTAGACCAGCCATGTTGTATGGTGCAGAGTGCTGGCCGGTCAAGAATTCTCATATCTAGAAGATGAAAATGGTAGAAATGAGGATGTTGAGATGGATGTGCGAGCACATTAGGCTGGATAAGATTAAGAATGAAGATATCCGAGGGAAGATGGGCGTGAATCCCATGGAAGACAAAATGCGGGAAGCTAGGTTTAGATGGTTCGGACACGTACAGAGGAGAAGCCTGGATGCCCCAGTAAAGAGGTGTGAACGACTGGCCTTGACAGGTATGAGAAAAGGTAGAGGGTGGCCTAAGAAATATTGGGGAGACATGATCGGGCAGGATATGGTGCAGCTTCAGATTTATGAGGATATGGCCGTTAATAGGAAGTTGTGAAGGTCGAGCATTAATGTTGTAGTTTAGGAGGTAGGAGGCTAGTCTAATAGTGTCATATCTTAGGCTGCTAGTGGCTCCAGTGCGTTTATATTACTTTATTAGGGTTGTAGGTTAGGTTGTAAGAGGCTAGTCTAATAGTGTTTTGTGATGGTAGTGGTCCTTATTGTGTCCAAATTGCTCCATTGTGTCTGTAGTATTGTGTCATTGTTACTGCTTATTGTTATTGCTTTTCTTTTTATTTTCTGGTTATTACGTTGCTGGTGTTATCTTTCTGGATTCCTTTGTTGTTACTGCTCAACTGTCTCTTTCCATCTTCGTGAGACGGGGGTCTATCGGAAACAACCTCTCTACTCCTCTGGAATAGGGGTAAGATCTGCGTAAACACTACCCTCCCCATACCCCACTTATGGGATTCCACTGGGTTGTTGTTGTTGATGTGATACACGGTGTGATACACATATCATATTTTTCCTTGTTCATCTTTTACTTCGAATTTTCAATTCAAATCACCTCAAAACTCTAACAAATCTTCTCAAAACTGAGATTTAAACTCCTTAAGATGTATCCAATTAATTCCAACAACACCCACTCAAAAGAAAGCAAAAATTTGACATTCTTTTGGATACGAATAACTAATTGGCTAATATTTTTGGATTGGCTAATTTTTGTACTAACTTACTTATGAGCTGACATAACTGGTAATGTCCCTTCAATAAAAAGAAAATTATTATAAGTAAATTGTCTAATTCATATAGTTTAAATTATAATATCCTAAATATTAGGACTTACTATATAATATTTCACATAGGCAAGTTTTAATAAGCAAAGTTTTAATTGAACTTAAAGTCCTAAATCTTAAAAAAAATAATTAAATGACTATTTTGTCTAATATAAAATTTATTTTCAATAGTATTAGGATGCGTGCTTTCCCTCACGCGCAAAGCAATTGTTGGTCTATATAGTATGCGCGTGTACCATTTTCGATAAAAAATATATGTTTAAAAATAATACAACTAATATTCAAAGCATATACTTGAGATAATTGACAGACCTTTTTTAACTATGGATTGAGAAATTACAATGAAATGCATTGATATATCTATAAATTCTCTTTTAGTGAAAGTAGTTTAAACCAAATCTACGTTTGTTACATTAGGAAACTATGCCAGATTTTACTAAATATTTCGCTAGTGCATGAAATTACTCGAACAATAAAAGGTTTAATTAGATTAAGACAACGACTTCAAAGAATATTTTTAATTACAGACAATCCAACTAATTATATATGTAGTATACTTCACTTATTTGCATTAAATTGGTTGCTATTTGATTTAGTCTAAAAGTGATGTAATTTATTTTCACGATTCCAATTTTCCTACGTAGGATATCATGATGGCACCTAATCTCTGCTGTTAGAAATAACCGCCTCTTTTAGAGACTTCTAGTGTGGCCCACAAATAAGGTAATAAATTATTTACCTTGTCTCCCAAAGGAAATAATATATCAGATAATATTCTGTAGTTATGCATATATGGTAGTTTCTTTGATGGAAAGAAATTACCATATATTAGGAGTCCCTAGGGTAATTATAATTTATGGAGAAGTCCCTAGGGCTAAAGTATTTGCCTAAGAGTCCCTAGACTACCTATAAATACGCTTGTGACTCCATCAGTCTAGCATCCAACGATAGGCACATGCTACAAGACTCCTAGGTTTTCTGTCAAAGCTTTTACAAGGCGATTCTACAACATTTGAACAACTATGGTGGAAGGTACGTTCCTTGTTTAATTTTCGCTGCGTTGGCTCTGTGTTTGTAGTGGATTTCAACATCTATGACTAGGTAAATCTAACAAACAATAGTAACTGAATAGATATAATCAACAAGTTACTGAATAATAGATAAAAACCTTCTGAAAGCATAATCTCACAATACACACCCCAAAATCGATGGAACTGAGTCATAAGCTCTGACTAATTCTAGAATATCTAATACATCACTATCTGAAAGAAATACAACATGAAATCAAATAGGGAAGGTCACTCCGAGGCCTGCGGATGTGGAGCAGGTGTACCTTAAAATCTTCCTGCTATAATAACCTCTAATGACTGGCACGAGCAGACATACCTGGATCTACACAAAAAATATGCAGAAGCGTAGTATGAGTACACCACAACAGTACCCAATAAGTATCAAACCTAACCTCAGTAGAGTAGTGATACAACCAAGTCAAGACACCTACTAGGATATAAAATAGACAGTATGAAAATGTAATACGGATATGTAATGGAAAGTGAAGAAACAACTGATACTGAACATGATAGTAGCAAGAACTAGTACCGAAAATCAACAATAGAAATGGCATAAAATAAGCAACTAAAGTGCTAATGATCATGCACGAACAACAACTGCTAGAATAATAAAGAATGACACAACAAGCTATATTTTCCACCAAAAATACCTTGCAACATGAAACGAATAGTAAGAATTACAACGAGGTACCGCCTCGTGTATAATGAAACCAAAACTGAGGTACTACCTCGTCTAATCAAGAATCACAACCGAGGTACCGCCTCGTATTCACCTTTCTCAATTT